GTGTAGATCTTGTCACATCTCGTTCTAACTGCACGTGTGAAATTAAAATCTGAATTAATTAGAAAACAGACAGTTATGTACTATAGTAATATCACAATGGCAGATGTTCAAATGGGCTGTCAATGACAAAACAGATGAATTCCATGGTAGTTGCACTGCAATGCACACTTCTTATTATTATTTTTTTAGCTGCACAGACACTGTAATACCCCTTTTAGGCTTTTCATTTTAATGAACTGAATTCCAAAACCATCTGAGGGTGGTAGGACAGGTATTCTTAGTTTAAATTAAGTCTTGTCTAAATGATGTAAAATTATGCACAGCATGACCTTGGCTAACTGTGTGGCAGTGTATGAGGGCCCATGATGGATGTTTATGAGGTTAGACAGCAAGTATTTCTTGGTATTTTCTATGGCTCTGACAGCTTGATCATGTTATATGTTGTATTGACATCTCACAATAACAGAAAGGCTCTCTCGATTCAGACTTACTTAGTTTAGTTTTTTTTTTTTCTATTTCATACAGGTTACATTTTTTTGTTTCGCCATGTGATGTAATGCAGTCTTGCCATTTGTTGATGTAACTTGTGCTTGGTTTTCTTTGAAAAGCTGACCTTTTCAAATGTCAGCTTTGGCCCACCTCTTTTCGTGTTGTATTCTTCCTCCATAGTGGAGCTACATAACTATTTTCAAATTACACCTTTCAAATCCAACATATTTACCATGGAGAACAACTAATCAGTCAACTTGTCATTAAGTCAGTCAACCAGCCAGTAAACTAATCTGTCAGACAGTACACCAGTCGATCTACTGATCAGCCAGTCAGAACACATATATTCATATTCACACATACATGACACACTAGGAAGCTGTTCGCCTACATTTCTTCATGGTGAATTTATAACACTGCTGTGACCAGTAGACAAAGAGTGCTTGATTTAATATTTAACCACACTATCACTCCATTTGTCCCTCTATCCTGCCTTGATCAGCCAGCCTTGATCAGCCACCCATAACCCACTCTACCTCTCTACCGTCCCACTTTATACAATAATCATTGTGCCCAATTGGCTAAACCATAGTAACCTAGTGAAAGGGTCCAGGGTATGGAGCAAAGTTGATCATTGGGAGACAGTTGACTGCAAATTGGGATGTTCTGCAATACTTGGTAATCTGGGGATGTCTGTGTTAATATAAAAAAAATAAAAACACAAATACAGTAAGCTTTCTGCACATACTGTAAAGAAAATTAGACTAAGCCCTGCTTTTCATCTCTATCTGCCACAAGACAGCATCGAACAAGGGAAAGCATTGCCTGGCATGACTAAGCCAATCCTAATATACTTCGGCAGCTCATCACACCAGCAATAATGGTATGCTCTAATGGGGATTATGTTCAAATATCTTCAAATACGGAGCTGAAAATAATTTCAGTGTTGAGAAAAGGATAATCTGGCAGGAGATAAAGAATGGAAAAAAACAGGTTGGTTGCTGAACCAGAGCAGTCCAATGAAAATTTGTATTGTCCCAGATGATAACATTGTAGAGCTGCCCTGGACCATCTATCTGGTTGGTCTGCAAAGGGTTACACAGAGATGGAATAGGCTGTGATGATTAATAGCTTTGCACACAGTGATGTTCTCCCCTGCTGACCACAAACCTCACAATGGCACACTGAGAAATGTGATTTCTCAACTCAAACCACAGTGTTCAGCTTGACAAACAAAAGCTAATGACCATTTTTGTAAGTGTAAAAAATATTTAAGACATGGCTTTTTAGAGGGCCTCTGGAGCCGAATGGTTAAAGTGCATGCCACATTACTACAACATCGCAGGCTTGATTCCAGCTGTGGGCCTTTGTTGCATGCCCTTCCTCTCTCTCTCTCCCCCTCGTTTCTATCCGTTGGTTCACTGTCACTGAAAGCAAAAATGCTACAAAAGGAAATTCTGTCTTTTTAAAAAATTGTTGATTAATGGCTGACACCTGGTGTAGAGCAGCTGGTAAAGAGTGTGACATGCAAAGGTTTGATTGGTTTGTACACAGTTTAACTACAGTCATAAAAAAGGATAAACAGAGGTTTGTTGCATCTATTGGAAACGCAGGACCCATTTCTGAGGACTGCAGAGCAACAGTGCATATTGACAGTTGGTAGAGTAATGTGCCAATAGCCATGAGCCAAGAGCAGAAAAATAAGAAAATAAGCAGATGTAAACAATATTGATGATGTTTCAAAACATCACAGGTTTGCAAATGATTTATGAGATAAGAAAGATATTTTTAGGTGGGTGTAAGGACACACAACTCTTTCTGGTAAAAAGGTTGATGTTTGTTTACAATGTAAACACCACAGGAGCTTGATGAAATTAGTAATTGTTCACTTGTTTAAATTGTTGCACAAGGAGATGGATTTTCTTTTACACAATCCCAGTGCCTTGTCTTTTCATTCCAACAACTGAAGACTTCAGGGGGAAACTGGGAAATTCTGCTCTTGGGATTGATGCAGCAGGGCCTGGTTCTTTCTGACATCTGTCTGACATGTTTCAGAAGGCTTTTTAACGCAACAGACTGGTGGCTAAAATATTTAACAGTTTGCAAGTCACAGAAAAGCCTGCTGGGAAACTGCCAGTGCAACATCCACCTATTCAATCCATATTTCATGGTCATGAATGAATGAATGACTGGCTTTTCTTTATATAGCATCTTCTTGACAGGAGGGGGACTTGTTAATGACCAAACATAGAGGTAAAGTAAGAAGTAACAACAGGAATGAGCTAACTGCAACCATAGTTCACGAAAGCACTTTCTTGAGGTTTTACTGAACCTTTTCTAAATCTTTTTTAAACCTTGATAACCTTGAAGAATACTGAATTTAACCAGTTGTCAGCATATTCTAGTGGTTGACAGTAATATCCTCACACCGCAAAGAGCAGCAAACAACCCCTATGTGGTTTGAAAGTGGACGGGAGATGCCACCTTGACTGCAGATATACACCCCAGCTTACCAGCTCCCCTTGCTCAATCCTCTGACCATAAGCTGGCTCCCCAGAATGAGTTGGGTATAAAAATTGTTGGGTTGGGTATAAGAGTTGTGAGCAGAACCAGAATTATAGCCTTACACTACAATTAAAGTCAGGACTAGACCACCTGGTGCATGGAGTTCTGACCCCATGAAGTCTCTCCATCACTACCCTTGTGGAAGGGTACAGGTAAACATGTTTTTTCCCACACCAAGTAGCCCATCAGGGAGGCCCTCTTCACCCACTCTGGAGTACGGTCTAGACCTGCTCTATATGACTGTCCTGAGATAACTTTTGTTATGATTTGGCACAATATAAATAACACTGAACTGAATTGAACTGAATTGTTTGTCAGTGAAAAAGCTGCCCAATTGCAACAAAGGGGGGAGTTCCAAAAGGATAAATCTGCTCATTCGTAGCCTGAAGTGTACTTAGAGCAACATCTTCAAGTGTTATAAGACATACCATTGTGCAAGAGTCTAGGAACAGTTCCTATGTACTATGTCTGCTGACTCAGCAGCAGACACAAAAGCTGCTGACTCAGCAGCAGACACAATATCTGCTCATTAACGTCAGTCCTGTCATTTGCTCTTGGCACAATTGACATTGAAACCAACCAACACCGTGTGGGCTTTTGGGCACACATGTATGGTGTTCCAGGACACATGCATACATATAATGATACTGGCATACTGACAGAACAAGAAAAAACACTTAATTAGTTAAAAAAAGAAACTACTGTATATTTCTCTACATGTAAAAAATTGGAATTCATATTTCATCTTCTGCTGCTGGCTATTTCAAGACAAGAATAAAAAATGCTGTTCTCCTTAAATCTGTAGAAGCAAGTGGAACTTTAAAAACAATCCATGACATTGTAGAGTTTCCTACCTCATTCAATTTTAATAGAATATAAATATAAGCATGTCATTTATATATAAAAAATATTTTTATAAACACCAGGTTTTAAAGGTCATTCAAAACAGCATGTAGTACATTGGCCTAATTATCATGCAGAACTTATTAACTTACCTCTGAAAAGTACACAGAAAAAAATACTCTTCTCAGTTATCACTACCAAGCTGATTACTATTGCTATTATACATACACATACATAAACACAGTACACCACCACACTTACACAACCAGCATCACCACTGGGCCATACTTGATGTCAGTAGCTGGAGTGGAGAGTTTGTCATTCAGTTCCCTGTCCAATACTTGTCCAAGTTGATCGGGGAATATGAAATGGCATTGTGAAAATTACAGGTTTGCTGCTAAGCATTCAGTTCCCTTTGTGCAATCACACCTATTTCACAATCCTTAGGGACATTCTAAGAAATCCAGTGTGGTAGTTTTGCTTTACTGAAGAAACAAGTTTTAGGCCAGAGTTCTCAGGGAACCCATCATAGCTCAGATATATCTTGTAATATAAGTTAAACAAAAATATAACAGTAAGGGTGGTATTAGCTCTTGTCACTATAGCACGACTGAATGTTTGTGGAAATACATGCCTTGTACAGCCTGGTATTGGTTGTATGTTTTGGTTTTGATTTGTATTATTTTGGTCTATCTATTTGCATGTTTAGTCCTGCCAACGTAATGAACTGGAAGAATAAAGTCACTGTTTCTGTGCTTTGTGCTCAGTATTCTAACACCATAAAAACCCACAGGTGTTTGCCATGAGGTCAACCTTTATATATCACACAGGTTTATATCTTTATAATCATATCTGGGTTTACGCATCCATAGTCAGTATTGTCCTTCATACTATTTTTTTCTATTTCACGGCTAATTGTGTTGTTGCCCTTGAATTCTCAACAAGGGTAATGCCCAATGAGTTGCTTGCAGGAGCTGTATGTAAAATAGCTGTTTCAAAAACAAATAAAACAAATAGTAAATGTAAATAGTTCAATTAATCATTGTATTCATTTGAGATTTTGACGTTTTTTACATCGTATAAAACCTTTTATGTACCTGCAGATGACAGTGATCTGCGACAGTAAAGGTCAGTTAGCGGCTCCTGAACCTCGTTCCTATTCATACTTGGTGTCTATGGATACATGCTTACAGCTATTTGACCTTATTAAAGATGACTGACAGTTTCTTGCTGTTTTTCCATTGAGGAAACTGATCATTGGAGTTCTCTCGTCTCGGTAGGTGTAAGCAAGTTAAGTTGCATTTTTTACTCAATTGCAATCACCTGGGTTTCTTTTTTCTTCCAGCAGTTTTGTAATAATGATTTTCATTTCCTGCATTTGACCTCAATTAATTCAGTAGGCACAGATTAATGCTAACTAAAACACTCATCTGGTGAGTCACATTTGTCAGTATAAACAACACATGAGTGAATGGCTTTCAACAAAGAAATTATATTGCTCTATAGTTCCAAGTCCTGGCAGGCCAAATAAAAAAATCTTAAAATGGCTGTATATCATAAAGTGCAACAAAATTATTATTATAAATAATAAAAACTCAAATTTAACCATGTAAAAGCCTCAAATCGTGGGCTTCTTGAAGAACTACAACAGCCTTGTATTCTACAAAAAATTACTGAATCAACACAAAATGTTGAAGGAGCAGCTGTCCCTACTACCTCTCCCCAAATATCAATAGCATTACTGGCTCTTGCTTTGCTACAAAGGGCTCTGGGATGACACCCTGATCCAACTCCCAAACCATAAATCATTCATCGCCAGCAGGTACAGAATAGAAGCAGCCAGAGAAGAAGGCAGATACCTGACCTTTCCCTGATGGAAAACAATACAGCAGATAACGAATAAACATTAGCTTGTTTCCAACATTCTAGTCAAAGTCGCATGTAATGCTTGACTAGATAAATACCATTATCCTTCTAACTCTCTTTTTCTTTGTCTGCCTCTATATTTCTCTCTCCTTCCCCAGAACATGACTTGAAGATGAGCTGTCCTCAGGCTGAGTTAGAGGAGAAGGACTGTCCTCCACCAGAGGAACTGGAGTGTAAAATCTGTTACCAACGCTACAATGCTCACAACCGCAAGCCTAAGATCCTGGACTGCCTGCACCGGGTCTGTGCCCGCTGCCTCATTAAGATCCTGGACATTGCTGATGGGGCAGGCTTTATCTCCTGCCCCTTTTGCCGACACCAAACAGAGATCACAGAGTACGAGGTGTCAGCCCTGCCTGACGATGCTAATATCATGTCCCACCTGGCGATGCGGGACAAATCCTGGAGCTCTGACCACAACGGGGAGGTGGTCCTGACCCCAAAGAGTTTGTCCTCCTCCAGCCCATCTCACGATTCCTCCAACTGCCTGGTCATCACTATAATGGAAGTGCAGAGGGACTCACAGCACTCCCCAAGCCAAAATGCCAGCTCTGACATCTATGCTGAGCAGAGCCTGGACTCAGTATCAATGGGCTCCAATGGGCCAGCTGATCAGGACGCCATGTCCAAGTTCTGTAATCATGTCCCACGCATCCTGGTCTGGCTGCTGGGATTCTTATACTTTGGCTCACTGCCTCTAGGAATCTACTTGTTGGTGATCCAGAGGGTGACACTGGGCATTGTATGTGTAAGCTTGGTGCCATCAAGCCTAACAGTTTGTCTGGTCTATGGGTTCTGCCAGTGTCTGTGCCAGGGCATGTGTGACTGCTCCTCTAGGGGCTGATAGGGTGCTACCCGAGAACTCGGGGTCCCAGCATGGGAGGAAGTCAGCAGCGGTACACAGGTATTTGATTGTGTTTTGTGGATAGAAAGGGGGGCAAAAGGTGAAGATGATGCCCTCTGCTACACAGGCTTTACAAGCCTACCAGTCAGTTATCTTCATGGAAATAATGGGCTAGTAAAAAAACCTACGAAGACCGCCTTTAGTGTTGGTCTATGCTTTTGTTAGGCCAACTGCTGCAACTCAGAAACCAGTTTGGCCAACAGGAACAGAGCCCCTGACAAGCTATGTTAGTTGGAGCAGTGGCTAAACCTACATTTCTGTGATGTACTTCTGTAATCTTTATTTCTTCTGTGTTGTGTGTATGAGCTACTCTACCATATCATTTGAGTGCAGACCTTTAATCTTTGACTAACATAACGACAGCGCTGGTCCTGGGCCCTCATTTATCAACACTGTGTACCAAAAATCTTGCATGCAATCAGTTTTAAGTGAATGGTGGTATTTACTAATTTGTAACTTTCCTTTAGGATGCCTGCATGTTTTGGTAAACCTCTAAACCATGCATACACACAAAAAATCTGTGTACCTTTTTGGTTTTCTCAGGATGTTATTAAGTTAGTTAAAATTTGTATTTAACCGTAACTGGATAATTGCCAGTTGCCAATAACAAAAGGGAGGAAAATCAATGTTGTAGGTGATTTTGTCCACCAGTTTAAATCAAAGGCACCTCTTAGACACTGATTGACAGTACAAATAGTGTACATTTTTAAAAATCACGTTTTTTCTTTCATTTTAATGAGTGTTTCTCACACCTATTAGCCAGCATTTATGGTGAAAGTACATTACCAAATAGTTTTCTTCCGTTAAAACTACAAGTAACTCATAATTGAATGTTAATTGTGATACTGGTCTTGCCAACAAATATCAATAACTGGATTGTATGGAGGAAAAGCACTGGTACGCTGACATCTATGAGTTGATACTATAGGCATCAGTGGGTTGAACCTGTTAATATAAATCTGATGCAACATCTTTATATCCTGGTTGAAACATTGCTCTTGTGATTGACAGGTCATGAATTACCTACTGTGAGAATAGCGACTTTTCAATTTCTTTGTATTGTTGAACAATGCAAGGAATATTGCAGGAAAATACTGTCCATTTGGCCAGATTTTTCACTATAAAAATTCTCAAAGTAAGTAGGAAAAGGGAAATGTGCATGCTAAACATATTTCAGCCAGGACTAAATACAAATTACCAAATTAAATTAAATAGGCTGCAATACTTTATTTATTACCTGCTTTACTGTAACAACAGTAGCTTTGGGCATACATGTGATGAGGTTGTTAGTTTTGCTTAGTGAATGCGCTCCTCTCCTCCTCATTCAGGTTGTTGTGCTGAATCAATTTGGTGCATGTGAGGCATAAACCGGATTCATATCTCAGGTTTTTTTATACTCTTTCAATGTTTAGCAACATTCTTACCAGTCAGTTCCTTATTTGGTTGAACATAGCAAGAATGCTCTGCTGTATTTTGTGGTACTGGCTGTAAAAAGCTCTTTTAGCTCCAAGGTGCGATTTATGTTTATGGGAATCCTCTGTTACCTTCATGCTGTAAGTCATAGTGCACATACAGCCACAGTAAAGCCATGTGGATTTGTTGTTGGGTGACACCTGCATTATTTATGAGTAACGCTTTAAATGTAATTTCAAATGATTTGCACAGTACATCACATGTATGTAGAGTGAAAGAAATGCTTTTTTTTATCAACTCTACTGTAGCTGTAGTTCCAAAAAGTAGTTTTCCGTCTAGCTCTGTGACCAAAACATCAATTTTAGTGTCAGAAGTTTTTTCTTCTAAAATATCTTGAATTACTGCAGTCGTATTCAGCACTGACTTTCCAGCAGTAAAAAGAAAGGGTTAGACTCTAAATTGTTCCATCTTTCCATGATAAAAGTGAAACTGAGTTTGTGGGTTTAATCAATGTACGTTACTTTCCTTACTTTATGCACATTTGACAATTACCTTTTGACATTAGTACTTTGTTGAACTCACAAGCATTTTACATTTTACTCTAAGAGTGAATGTAGAACGTTTTGTGTACAATGTTGATAACTGAGGGCCCTGGGCTGATAACTGTAAGTTACAGTATATTCAATGTTAAACTTCAGGTAATGATATTTTTCATCAAAATGGAAATGTAGCATTTTGGAAAAAAATATTCATTTTGTACAAAACCCTTCCTCTACAATGTAAGTCCTGTTGTTCTGTGATGTTGGGGTTATATATATTGTTATCTTACTTTTCCTTTCTCGGCTTCTTTCTACCACTGTTTCTCTACTTGTCTCTGTACGCACTCTCTCTATGTTTTCCTGTACTTCTCTGTATGACCTATTGACTGCAGCTCTCAGCTTAGTGCCACACTGATTACAGAAGCTACTAGATGAATAAATAGAGAATTATTTTCTATACGTTGCTTGTGTACTGATTCAGTCCACCTTTTGAATGTCAATAATCAACATCATTGTCATCGCAGGTTAATCTTGCACAGTCTGTGTTAAGAGTGAGAATGCTGCCGTTATATGTCAAACCAATAACATCCCAAAGGAGGAAAGCTCAATTGTAATTTTAAATAAAAAAACAAAGGGACATTCTCATCTCAAATTCAATAAATGGAAAGATTTACTCTAAACCTTCATAAGCTTTATGTGATGGAGGTCTGGCTATACACAATTATCAGAAAATCAGTGATTGCTCCTAAGAGAGACAACAAAAAAACCATTTCTTTCACAAATAATGATAATAACTCAGTATAGTATTTCTAACTTAATAGAAATCAATCAGCCTCTCATTTTGTTAAGTACTATTATGGTCAAAGATACACAGTAATAAAGCAAAAAGTGCTGAGACTGGTTCATACAGTAAGACCAGCTTGAGACAGATAAAAAAAAGGTAACAAAAAAACAAACAAAGAAAAGAGAGATGGCAGACTGCAGCAGCATGTCAGATAGTAGAAAGAGATTTTATTTTCTGCCAGAGTTGGCAGAGCTGTTGGACAGAGTGCATGTCAGTGGAGCGTTTGTCCTGCTGGTTGTACTGTCTGACATCTACAAGACCCTGCCTTTCATCTTTCTGAGCTGAGTGGCAGGTTACATGAAAAAAAAAGTCTCCTTCCCTGCATCTGAAAGAAGAATAACCATATCCATAGAGGTCTGTGGAAAACAGTTGTGACAGGGATTTTAAAAATAGTACGAATTATCACAGTCAACAATGTGTGACGATGATAATGAATCCCTGTACATTCAGCTCACACTGGCTTGCAATCAGAGCCAGAAAGCCCTTTTAAACATTAAAGGACCAGTGTGTAAGATTTAGTGGCATTTAAAGGTGAAGTTGCAGATTGCAATCAACTGAATACCACTTGCTTTCCAAGTTGGTAGTTTCTCACAAAAAAATGTGAAAGACCCTATCTAGAGCCAGTGCTTGGTTTGCACATTCTGGCCTATTGTAGAAACAACAGCGGTTCAACATGGCAGACTCCATAGTAGAGGACCCGCTCCCTCTGTAGATAAAAATAGCTTGTAACTGTCATAAATAAAACAATTCAAACTTTTCAGGTGACTACATAGTAATGCAAACATACACATGAATACTATGTTTAATTTCTGCCTATTGATCCTCCTAAAACTTAAACACTGCACCTGCACTTTTAGCCAAATTGATCCAATGAGATAAGTGGAAGAATCATTCATTTCTTTAATTCTATACACTAAAGATAAAAAAGTTAAGGGTGAGAGGTTACAGCACCCTGACAACAGAAGAATCATATGTGATCCTATGATTTGGGTGATCACTGCTATTTGAAAAGAAATGCAAACTAGGCTCTGAGGAGAATTTTGAATGGAAAAAATAGTTATCCTACACTGACGTCAAGCAGCATGTGTCATGCAAACCTGTGACTTGGCTATATTTATACATGCACTTACTAAAATATTCAACATTTTCAGGTGTTTCAAGGAGATGGAGGGGCATGAATTTTAATTACACATGAATAATGTAGTCGCAATCTGCCCTCCCTTAACACACAATCCCTATCTTGTCAATTCATAAGGTGGCATTCATTACAACCACGATAGGTTAATGAGAATCACATGAGAGTTTTTAGTTGGTCACTAAAAAGAAAGCAGCTGGCGGAATTTGTTAGTATCTCAGGTTGGTATAAAAAGTGAGAGCCTGAACTTTGAATTTGCATTCCCATCTCAGAATCAATCACCTTGATGCTGTGAGGAAGAGCGAGTTCAGCAGCCCCCTTGAGCTGCGGCGAAATACAAAAGTCACAGTGCTCTGGAAAATTTAACTGGGGCAAGTAAAAAGGTAAGGCAAAGTATAACATTTGCAATTCAATTTTGATGTCTTTCAGAGAATATAATACGCTTTGAAATGGAACGTTTGTGAAAAGGAGAAATAAAGTGCAGCCACCATTGTGTGGACTTTTAAACAGAGTGGCCTTCAACAGCTCATACAAGTTGAGAGTTTATTCAAGGTCATCAAATAGGGAGGGGTGGGGGTGAAGAAGAGGTCATGCGTTGGTAGGAAGATGACGAAACAGAATCTTTTAGGCTAAATTCTATACCTGGGATTAAATGGTGGACTGTTTAACCTGGGGTATTTATTTTCACATACAGTGTTGGAAAATGTGATCTTTTTACCGTCCTCACTGACTGAAAGTTGTGACTTGTTAATGGATACCAAACTCCACTATAATAATAGGCTTTTCTCTTTTTACTGTATATTCTTACCATTATCATGTCTGACATGTTTTCTTTGTGTGGAGTTATGAATCTGTAAGTAACTATCCTTTTGTGATAATATATTCTTTACTTACTTTAAATGGCAAACATCACACCCAAAATGGTTTTGTTCTTTGGCGAGGGTTAAAGGCCTTTAAAAAAAAAAATCACAAAACGCCTTATCTACCCATTGAAATATGATTGCAGACAAAAATAATAATATGCATGCAGACCTGTGTAGAATCAAAAATGTTATGCAAAAACATCTGTGCAGTTGCAAGTCAACCATTGATATGTAATCAATCACTGCATCTTTTTGCAACACTGGCTAGACCAGATCCTGTCTTAAATAAAAGGACAATACAGCACAGAAGTAAAATATCAATCTAATCACACATACAAGCAAAAGACCTAGGATCAAAGAATGGCGAGATGTTTGAAAAATCAAAAAACTAATATAAGGCCAAGTCGCTACTCATTGAAGGCATATACATAGTGTCTCAGCACACGGGTGATTTAAAAGCTACACAACTAATGGTCAGAAATATCACTTGGCTCCAGTCAAGTTCGCATTATTGTAATGGGCCATTGAGTTGCTTTGTGTTTTTATGGTGCATGCTGGTGATAGTGAAAGCAGCAGGGGGCAAGTTGAAGAAAGGATGTTCTTTAGTGCAATACAGACCTCCTCCTAGCCATGTCTGTAAATGTTTCTTGCAGAGTAAATGAGAGAATGCAAACATGATTACTTAGGGAAGCACTAAAACAATTAGCTGATTTATTGATTGGTCAATAGACAAATTACTCCTTTAATTTAAAAAATCTGATTTTATCCTCTCAAATGTGGGTATTTGCTGTTTTTCTGTTTTATATGATTGTGAATTCTTTATCTTTGGGTTTGGTACTTTTGGTTGGAAAAAATGATGATTACATCATCTTGGGCTCTGATATATAAAACATTGTTACATTTCACACTAAATGATTAACCCAAACAACTTATAGAGAGATAGAATAGAGAAAGATAGAAGGAACACCACTATCTGATGATGCATGACTCTATTTAATGTGTTGTATGACAGTACATGGTTAAAACCTATGTTGAAAACAACACCTACTCCATACACAGCTCCAGAATAACCACTGCAACAGCTTGAGAATGTATGATTTCACCTTTAAGTGTTAGTTAATATCTTGTTTAGCTGGCAGAGAACGAGGGAGTAGCCTAATGATGTATAAAAGGAAGGAGTGAATAATGTCTTTGAACATCTAACATTTACAGCTGTCCTCTTTTAATGGCCTGAACACTACCAATAGAACTCACATTCACACACACAAACACAAACCTCTTTTTCTATGGGCTGTTGCTATAGAGACACTAATAAAATTGTCAGAACTGCTGAGATGTTTTTCCCCGCTGTGGCTTAAATGACAAGAGCTGCTGACAGCTGGAACACACAGAGAGCACTGGCCCTAGAGCAAGGCACCAATACTGCTAGACCAATATCTTGTTCACGTTTGGCATAACAAACAAACAAATATGGAGAGGCTGTACCAACTGATATTGCAGGACAACTGTCAACCACAGTGGTAACATTCAAACAAAGATGGCCCTGTAGGTAGATTGCCAAAAGGTTGCCATGGTGATTCGCTAGAATAGTCTCCATTTTATTTCTATGGAATGGGGTGTGATCCATGCAGTTCTTGTCACAGAATGGATAAGGAGAAAAACGATGCTCCGTCTTCCTGCCTACAATTAGTTATGGCTACAATTGTGTCTATTGCAGCCATCTACACAAACTAAAACATCCGTCAGAAATAAGTAATCTTTCATTTAATAAATTATAGGGTGACAGCAAGTTTTGTATCAAATCTTGCATTACATTTTGCTTTTATATTAAAGCTATGGCAGATCTCTTTCTTTCCATCATTCTTTCCAGGCTCTTGTAGCTGGCTTCTCTCCCATATTACCAGCATGCTGCACTGAATGAAAATGTTACTCACTGTTTTTGCCCTGGTCAACTTAAGTTAGGTTGTAACAGAAATAGTGAGGGTGCAACTGGACAAAGTAATTACAATATTGCCTTTAAACTCAAGCTTTTAGATAAAACTGGTGCTCAGTTGCTACAACAAGCTGCTACATCATCTAATCATCCTTGCGATCTGTTATCTGTCTGCACTTTTGCTTCTTACTACTCATTTTGCATTTTAAGTCTAATTGATTTCATTTCATTCTATTCTTATTTTTATTTTAGCCTAGGACTGGGTGATATAGCTGAAATAGGTATCACAATAAATCATTTAATTTCAGTGTATATTGATTAATTACCTATACCAGGTGAAAAACTGTTAAATTTAAACACATTCTTTATCAAGGCACACAGGTAATAATGTTAATTTGTCATATTGTATTGTTGTTGATTACCTTTCCATCGTGGACTGCCTGCATGTGGATTGGACATCTTGAGATGGAACTGATGTAGGTTATGACTGACAATAAGTTGTGTAAGGGTGGAAGCGGCAATGATGATTCACCCATAGCATGCTCCATTATCAAAGGATATGGCGTATTTATCATGGGCTTTCATTGCAACTTGCATTTAAATTAATCTAAATTCAACAATTTTCTTATTGCCAACATATATTGCATTTGTTTTATTGCCCAGGGCTATTTTATGTCCTCTGTTTTATTTTGTCCTTCTGCTGTAACTCGCCTCCGGGGAATCAATAAAGGATTAACTTATCTTATCAAGTTCCTTGTACATACACAGTGCTGGTGTTCTTCCCAGTGTCTACTTGATTGTCTACCTGAAACTAATCTTTCTGTTTATGATTTGACCATTGCCAACTGTAAGCCTGTCTGACTATGTTTTAAATGATATCGGTCTTGTACTGTAACTTTATACAGGTCTCTGTTCTGCATATCAGTGTTGCATATACTCAGTACATTTAGCTTAAAATATTAGTATTTGCGTAAACTTCCAGCTGGCAAAATAGTGTTAAACAGTGGCCACTAAATTGCACTTGCAGTATAACAACAGAAAGTAGAAATGCAATCTATGTAATCAAACAATGTATGACTGCCTATAATGTCCTGACCACTGCCGCAGATAAACGCAAGTAAACACTATAACTACTAGCAGCAGCAGTGTCACAGCGATACTCAATAGACCAAAGTCAAAGAGACCAGTACATCATTGCTGATCGTTATCTTTATGCCGGTGTTTTCTTTACATTTCACATACTGACTGTGGGATGTTGATACTATACTTGGTTTAAGAGGGGGGAAAATGAAGTCCTTGAGAACCAATGAGCTCATCTTGAGAGATGGCAATCTCAAGTGTTCATCAATTCATGCCTTCTGAGGGGTGTAGACCAATAGTAGATAGTTTATCAAGTGCAGTGGAGTGGGACGATCAATAGGAAGTAGATTGGAGGGCTATCTTGGGCAAAATTAACTTTAGGTAAAATTCGCCGTCTGGATCGTTGAGCTGAGTCAAAGTTAAAGGCTCACAAGCTACCCTGGCATCAGGGGGTTAAGATGAAATTAACCTGCCTGCCATGTAGCAGAGTAGTTTCAGGGCATAAGTTACTGGCAAGGACTCTCCCCATCTTTGGAAGAAAATATACAGAACATCTCAATTTTTTAGATAGAACAGCTAACTCCTTAATTCTCTATGCAGGGCACAAAACCAAATCCATTTTAAGACAGTGAGCAAGGTTTATCAAAGGTTTTGAAAATGCTAATACATGATTCTCCTGATAATATGGGCCTTTCAGGGGAGTTGATTGAAGTGTGAAAGTAATGTTTGAATAAGGGGACTTACTTTGACTTCTTCCTGTAGTTTTCCAAATCGAACTGTGCCATTCAGAATCCTGCTGATGAATCCCTGCTTTTCCTGCTGAAGAACCGAAGCCTGAGGAGGTAGAGAGGGAAGAAGGGAGGTTACTGATCTAAAAGAGAAGGGGGGTAAAGGAAAAGAAGAAGTAAAGACTGTTGAAACTGTTGCCAATTTAAAGGAGTCCTATCTGAACCAAAATACTGCCACTAACAGCATGTTCTCAGTTAATAGCACCAATGAACAGTTAAAACTGTAGTTATGCAGTAAAGTACAAATAAATATAGTAAATTAAGAAAAATAGCAATAGTCATTATCAAAATGTTAATCAAAACAATGGTTAAATATCTGTCAGTGAAAAAAAAACCTAATGCCCTGCTAATTTAGCAAAAGATTACTTTAAGTCCAGCTTGTGCAATATAATGAGGTATTTTACAGCTAGATGATTTCATATTGCAATAGCAGCCAAAAAATCCAGAATTCACCTCATTAAGGCTGTCTTGGATCTTCTGTACCTACTTTCTTCGGCCTCTAAAGACTAGGTATAAATCTGCACAGGTATATAAAAAAGGTTGTGACAGAGAGGGAAAAATGTGTTAAAGTGCAACCAAAGTAAATGTTTTGAAGCGTAATTTAATTTACAGGGAATCTTTTACACTTTCATTCTTAGTTTGCTGATCTTGGGCAGATATATTCAATAATCTGTGTCTTTTTGAAACAGTTCCAGTCACTGACTGCATAATTAGCAGGATTGTTTAAGACACCTTTATATTCACTGCACAATACAATTAAGAGTGCAAAAAAGCTTTTGTATTGTGTCTAAAACGTGAACATCATCTAAGTGTCTTGAACACAAATACTGTTTTCCTGGGGGTCACAGCCAGACATTATATATCAATTACCATTATAACTCAATTGGTCATGCATGTGCGCACCCCCACACACCCACACATCCACACACCTCATCCAGACAAATCAGTTCTTGTTAGCTTTAAACTGGCTACCTCTAATATGGTGTCAGTCTGACCTTCTCCCCATGATGGGCTCTCACTTATCCTCCAAAAAAGTTAAGTTAGATATGACAAAGTCCCTAAATCTGGAAATAATGTCTCCTCTGCTGCACACTCGGCTAACTGAGCCAAGGATATACTTCATCATTCTATTTGTGTCAGATTAGCTATATTATTTGGTTTGACATGCTATATCTTATGGCTCTGACTGTAAATCCATTTAATGTTGCACCTCGTCTACCAGATGGACCAACTCCAGGGGAAAAAATAAAAAGGGGACCAGCTGCATGTGAGGGGGCACCAGCATGAAGAAGGCTGTATTCATTGGTGAGATACTATTCCAAACCCAAGATAGAATTGTGTTTATTACTGCGACTCAGATATGACTCTCAGTTAACTCACTACACCTCTGTTAATAAAGAGATTAATACCTAAGTATAACTACTACACCTTCTGTAATAAGAGAATATATACTCCAGTTAACTACTACACCTTCCTGTATGAAAGAGATTATATACTCCATATCAATACTAACACCTCTGTAATAAACGACACACTACACGGCACTATTAACTAATCACCATCTTAGAGGCAGGCTACACCACTCAATTCTGCTAGCATGCCAGGAAGCCTATCTGGCACCAGCATTGCTGGAAGGGCATAGAGGGCGCACTTTAGTTACATCTTCCACTGGGCGAGAACCCTAGAGGGCGCCTTATCCATTTTCTTGCACAATTGGCACCATAGAGGGCACCTGATGTTTTAAATTTACATAAACACATCCAAAGATGGCACTTTTTGTAGTGTGTTTTTTTTTTTTTTTTTTGACCACCGTGGGCACCAGGGGCAACCCTTGCTTGATAGTGTATATATAGCTTATAAGAGGAATTATATATTACAATATCATTATAAAATTAGTAACGAGTCCAGGGTATCAAGGTCTTAAGGAACAAATAGTGGCTATTAATGAAATGCTACAGACGTCTTCTGTTGATCAACACCATGCTCTACGGTCCACAGAACGAAAAGAATATACAACAGCAAACAAATAAAATATTTATTTATGAAAGTCAGTTTTTATGATTTCATGCTTTGTTGTTATTCTCACTGAAATACGATACTAAGTACACAATAAAAATAGCAAGTAACAGATCCAAAATAGTTTTTGGTGATGTGATGTCTTATTCCATCCCCACTACAAGCATTCTCTTCTCAAATGTAGACTTCAAATGACAAGAAATAATAATCTTCATCTGATTGTAAGTTTTGCCTATCCAGCCTTGGTCAGAGAAAAAAATATAGTATTTATTTTGTTGATCTGTCACCTTGTTCTTTTTTGCAGCCTGTAATGCTCAGCTCCTGTCATTCCCCCCATGCAGTGTGCAGTTGTGTGACCAGGAGTGTCAGTCAACAGCGTCATTTTTTCTTCGTGTAAGCCACTTATCTTTGGGTGGGGATTGGTGGAATAACTGTCTCGACGTGAAAGAGAAAAGGTAGTACACAATCTGTCTGCACCAGAGGGGAGAAGAGAGGGCCGAAGAGTGGGGGAACACAGCGGAGCAGAGGTCTGAACAGAGGGAGCTCTGGAGAGCAGCAGGCGTAGGGCGCAGATGACTACTGACACAGCTGATATTCTCACTGAAATGCGAGTAAAAAGCACCGAAATGCACACTGTAAATCGCTCGATCAGTGTAGTCAATTGTTGAGCAGGCTTGTCTGTAGTGATTCGCTCTTGGAATGTCCAGTTTTGTGTTGAAGCTTACCAAAAAGCACAACTCTCTAGCTCCTCGCCTCCTGTTTGTGTGT